CAAGCAAAGATGGGGTGTGTTTCATTTTTGGGGGGGAAGGGGAGGTGGCATTCTCACCGTAATGGAGTTTATTTTCAAATGTACAGCTTCTTGATCTCCCAGGAATTATTGAGGGAGCTAAGGATGGGAAAGGGAGAGGTCGACAAGTCATTGCAGGTGAGCTTTGAAGGGCTGGGGGCTCGTTTTAGCCATTATTTTACATGCTAATGGAAGGGTGAGGTTTCACAGTGATTTCTTTCTGGGCCCTTGCATGCCTAGTATATGGTCAGTGTGTCTTATGTCAGAAATGAGTTACTACATTTGTAGGTAGTAGGGGGAACAGGCATTTTTCACTTTCATGCCTATGTTGCTTGAAGGTCAGGGCTTGCTCAGCTCTGTGTGCTCTGTATCTTCCTAACCTACTGAAAAGTATACTAGCACTTCAAAGGCAGATGCATTCCCACATTAAAGAAGGTGTTTGTTTTAATATCTCTGGCACAATTGATGCTATACTATAGTTGTATGTAAACATAGACAGCAGGCTCTGTCCAACCACTCAGATTCTTTAGGACAGAATCTGATTGCATTAGTGACAAATGCCCAAACTCAATCTGGTAGCACTGGACCAAAAAAGGATGGAGGCCAAGACGCATCACCAAAACTGCAAAAATAGGATGTGATTAATTTCCCACTGGTTTTCACGAGCTTTGCTGACTTCTGCTGGGGTGAAGTTAAGGTGAGAAATCGATCTTCCAATGACACTTGCTCATCCAACTTGCTAGTTTAGTGGCCTAAAAGCAGGGGGGGAGCGGTTCTTATAATAAGGCTGTACGGTGCATCATTTTGCATAAAAATTCTTTCGGTCTTTCATTTGTAGGCTTCTGAACTTGTTAACAAGGGCATGAACATAAGTAGAAGTAGGTCAGACCAGATGTCTGCAGGTCCCACCTGATTTTAGCCTGTGAATTGGAAGGGTGTTTATTAGGGGTGCACTGTCCTGGGCCCTGCCTCAGCTGGGCAGCACCTACCCCAGCTCCACTCCCTCCCACCCCTTCCCCACCAACAGACTTAGCAGCTGGACACTGCTCTCCACTGGGCTGGCTGTGTGCATGCTATGGCTGTGCACATGCACATAGCATTTATAGTTGACATTATCAGCTACATCAGCCAAAAAAGCTGATTGCCAATAATGTCAATTTTCCTTTTATCAGTGCTGATACGGTATGGACCAATATATCAGTGCACCTCTAGTGTTTATTTCATGGTGAAGTAAATATTAGGCAAGGGCCTAGGACTAGAAACTTGGCTCTTCTAGGCCTCTGTATTTCAAAAACAACTCATTGTAATTGTTATCAGGTTAGGCAGGGTTTATCTCCTTGATGGTACCATATTCTGTCATCCAGAGGTGGATTTAAGGTGTACTGGGGCCCTGAGCAAACACAAAATTGGAGGTGCCCTCTCCCTACAGGAGTTGCATTGCAAAACGGGGGAGGGGCCTCTTTCTTTCCAGGTGCCGGTGGGGGAGGCTGGGTGGACCCTGCTGGACTGGGGGTGGTGGGGGCACATGCCCACCTCTTCTCCCTGCTATAGTCAAGCGCATGCACACAGATGGGCATGCACTCTATTCTCTGCACATGGACCCACAGACACAAACACACTCTCCCTGCGATGAAAACATGCACACACACATACAGAGATGCACATGCAGAGGCACAGACACATGAACTCATGTGCACAGACGCTCCCATGCATAGAGAGACACACCCAGACATAGGCATGAGTGCATGCACACACACATCCAGCCTGGTCACACTTTTGTTCCACAGGAACTCTCCCCGCCCCCACTCTTTCTTGATTCCTGTGAGGCAACTTCCTGCTCCCTTCCCCCCCAGCAATGAGCCACCTGTGGCTCTGTCTCGCTCCCCACCTGTTGCACTGAGCTGTAGGCACCTGGCTGTGCCTGGGTGGCCGCCTCTGTGCAGCAGCACTATGCTGCTGGGAGGGGTGGCTATGGGAAGCTAAGGTGAATTTTGGGGGGCTATAGCCTGCAGAAGTGTGGTGCAGCACTCCCAGCTTGGCTTCTACCCCCAAGGCGTGGCGCTGTGTGGCACTCCTGACCAGCCCGGCCCTCTCCTGGCTGCAGGGAAACACGTATGAAAGCCAAGGTTTTAAATTTGGCATCATTTTTTGTCTCCCTGTTGGAGACGAAACCAAACTTCCACTTCCTTGCTGATGACAGTCCTGGGGCCGGGGCTCCTGGGCTCGTGCCCAGCTGGCCCGTGCATTAATCCGCCTATGCTGTCACCACCCATTGAACTAGTTCTTGGATGCTTTGACATTTACTTAATTGTACAGTGCTCTGGCAAAGATGTGTGTGTATAATCTTTTCTGGGATAATTTTTCTCTCTGATCCTCAGTTGCTCGAACATGTAACCTAATTCTGATTGTTCTGGATGTGCTAAAGCCCTTGGGACACAAAAAGATCATTGAGAATGAGCTGGAGGGCTTTGGAATACGACTGAATAGTAAGCCCCCCAACATTGGCTTTAAGAAGAAAGATAAAGGAGGCATCAATCTCACAGCCACTGTAAGTTGGAAATTGCAACATGCTGAATGGAAATGTCACTTCTAGAAAGCATTGTTGTCTTGTTGCCCTGAGGTGTACAAGGTATGCGAGATACTGTGAATTGAGTTTCTACTGCCAACAGTGCTGAATTCCTGTATCTCAAAATGCAGTTACTACTACTTGGTACCAGTGCACAATGGCTTATAGGTATTAGTGTCAATGACTGCAGTATCTGACTATATGCAAACTCTTCCTTTTCCCACCTAATGTTGTCTTTTTTATGTTTAGTGCCCCCAGAGTGAGCTAGATACTGAAACAGTGAAGAGCATCTTAGCAGAGTACAAAATTCACAATGCTGATGTCACACTGCGGAGTGATGCTACTGCAGATGACCTCATTGATGTGGTTGAAGGAAACAGGTACTGTATCAAAGTAAAGACATGTTACATGGTTACCACATGTAGTCAAATTACAGAACTGAAAAAGCCTATCCCTCAGAATCTATTATGTGGTGCACCGAGTCATTGTTTGCATCCACCCTCAAAATGGTATATCCCCCGTTCTCTTCCCTTCCCCAGACAAGGATCCACAAGGTGGCAGGGAGTATTCTTATACATTGCTACCACTTCTGTACTGCTTTGTTTCCTACTCTTTGCAGAGTTTACATCCCATGTATTTATGTGCTGAATAAAATTGACCAGATTTCCATTGAGGAGCTAGATATCATTTACAAGGTACCTCACTGTGTACCAATTTCTGCTCATCATCGTTGGAATTTTGATGATCTGTTGGAGAAAATTTGGGACTACTTGCAACTAGTGCGAATGTGAGTGTTAATTGCTGCTGAATTCCTGCATGGTTGGTTAGAGGGGTTGCAGAGACTTCTATGCCTTGGAGTCCTCATTCTCCTGTTCTAGGAATAATGGCTTCCTGTAAGCTCATACAGAACATTAGCCCTCAAATGCTCTAGTCTGTTATCAGCATTGGTTTGATTATGCATTTTCTGCTGTGCGACTTGGATGCAGACGAAGGACCAGTTTGCTCAACACATTCAAACACTGGGATTTAAGTTTATTTCCTAGTAGGAGAATGAAGGGGATGCTCTGCGGGGACAGCTTCTGCCATCTGCACGAGAGCTCAAGCTGAGGCTTAGGGCTATGGGAAAATGAGATGTTATGTTGAGATAAAAGGAAGAGGGATGTTCTTCTGTTGGTTAACTTGGCTAATTTCTCTATATTGTAGCTATACTAAACCTAAAGGACAGTTACCAGACTACACCTCTCCTGTGGTGCTGCCTTACTCCAAGACCACAGTGGAGGATTTTTGCATGAAGATACACAAAAATCTCATTAAAGATTTTAAGTAGTAAGTACCATAGGAAAAGATTGGACCAAACTATCCGCTATTTCCAGTGTCTTTACAGTGGTGCATTCCGAGTTGTGATTTTTATTTCTTATAAGTTATTCACTAGCAGCAGGATTGAAACTTGAAAAGCTATAGGATTTCAATTTGCTCTCACTGAAATAGCTTTTTATGTACATCTTTGTGTTAGTATCTGGAATGATTCAATTTCAGTGTTTGTATGTTGTACTGTAGCTTCCTTGCTTGCTGATATATCCCTTCCTGGTAGGAAAGCCACTGTTTTTAAAGCATGAGAATGGTATTAGTCTGCAGAGTCTTGAGCTCTGTAGCTATGGTTTGGTATTAATGACCCCATACCTTTTGTCTGCTTTTGGAGTTGATGCTTGGAGCCTCTGGGATAGGTATTTATGTAAGGTATTTTGTATAGATATCCCCCATAGGGACAGAATAGTAGCTGTCATTGTTCTGTGGTTATTTCAGTCTAAAGTTCATTGTGTCTTTTTTTTTTTTCCCTCTCTCTCCTTCAGTGCACTGGTTTGGGGTTCATCTGTTAAACACAACCCACAGAAGGTTGGCAAAGATCACACGCTTGAGGATGAGGATGTCATTCAGATTGTGAAGAAATAAAGTTGTCCCTGATCAATTGCCACAACAACTGGCATTGTTATTGTGACTCTCTTTCTATATACAGTCAGTTTTGAGTGGCTAAGTGGAGAGGGAGTTACTTTGTTCTGGTGCTCACTTGTATATCCAGCTGGTTGCTGAAATGCATGGTCGAAAATTGGATAAAAAGCTGAGGAGTGTATGCTTCAAAAGGGCAGTCTCTCTGCTTTGTGTTTATTACTTGTCAGGGTTATAAAATCCACACACACAAGTAGGATTTCTCTTATGCCTGTATAAAATTCATTTCTTTGTAAGCTGTGCTTTTATGTTCCATCTTACAGTATGTCTTTAACAATAAGAGAAGGCCTGACTCTACCAACCTTAACCTAAAGGGATCCCCATTTAGGCATTAAAGGCATTACGTTCACTGGATCCTTGGACATCAAACTCTTCAAACCTAGGTGTACAGCTTGATGGTACAACCTAGTGAACCACTTGACCTAATGTTGTCTTTTGTTATAGACAAGTACACGGGATGGATTTGATTTAAATCATTCGTGTTGTTTGATATAACAGTACATATTATTCACAACTCAGAAATAGATGTAGGTTTCATGTTTGGAAGGTATATGCTATACATGTTAAAGCAGTGATTTTTTTTTTTTTTTTTTTTCCTCCAGATTAATTTTTGTGGATACATCAAAAAACTGAATTATGACTTCGGTTATTTTATTTACCGAGGCTAGTTGAAGCAGATAATTCACCTTACAATGACTTCAGGTATCTCCAATTTACTAGATTAATCATGGATATTTGGGGGATGTTTTTGCCATACTGTATTAGGAGGGCATCCAATGAATGATGCAGCTATATGTTATTAGCCTGGGGCTTTCTTCACTTTCTTCTAGGGGTGTACTGATCAGCCACCCTGAGCAAAGCCCTGGCCCGGCCCCACTACTGGGAAGAGGCCAGCGCAGCTCCTGGCCCTGAGCCCACAGCAGGCAGCCCACCCTTGTCCTGCATACAAATCCAGGTGACACATGCCTCCCTGGGGTGTGAGCAGTGGCAGGAATTGCCCCCCTCCCCACTCTCCTGCACCCCCTGGAGGAACCACTTGTGGCCCTACCCTGCCCC